TACGGAGGTATACGAAGATTTTTCTTCGTTATACGTGTCCGGACACAGTACGAAGGTATACGAAGGTTTTACGAAGGTAAACTGAGATTTACCTTCGTAAAAGCTTAGTGTTTGCCGCTGAGTGACACGAGGAATACGAAGGTGGTTGTCCGCCAATCGGTTGTGTAGTTTTTGGTGCGCACGTGTATGCGTCAGCCATACGCAACCAATCACAGGACAGACGGACCGCACTTACGGAGGTAAACGAAGATTTTTCTCCGTCAATACGAAGCGCAGCCTTCGTAATGACGGAGGGAATACGAAGCGTTTCCTTAGTCAATACGAAGGTTTCTCTTAGTAAATACGAAGGCGTTTCCCCGTATTGACGGAGCAATACGAAGGTTTATCTCAGTAAATACGAAGGCTGCTCTTCGTAAATACGAAGCAATACGGAGGTTTTCCTTAGTAAATACGAAGGTTTTTCTCAGTAAATACGAAGGCTGCTCTTCGTAAATACGAAGCAATACGGAGGTTTTCCTTAGTATATACGAAGGCTGCGCTCCGTAATTACGAAGCAATACGGTGAATTCTCTTAGCACGTACGAACGTCGGTCACCTTACTGAAGAAGCTATACTAAGGTTTCTCTCAATATATACGAAGGTTGCTCTTCGTACTTATGAAGCGATACTAAGATTTTCGACGCCATGCTACGATTCTTCTAAGTAATTTGCAACGATGCTCATGCTAATAACGAAGCGAAAGTAAGAGATCACTTAGTTAATGGGCTACCTTACCAAAGGGTAACGTTCACGTGAGGGACGCGATTCAAGGCTTTCGGGAAGCCTACAGGAAGAGGTTTCTCCTTATGGCGTAAGCCAAATGCTTCTAACTAATCACTATGAAGCTATTAGTATATCACGGTTTGCTTACATAAGGTACCGGAAACGGTCGTACTTTTGCCGTACACGGCCCAGTGAACGTTTTCAAAAATGTGGACGCACAATACATGAAAGCAATACGTAAGCAGACTGCTGCGAGGAGTACATTGTCCACTTACCCATAGGGTATTTGCAGCCTGATTTCCCTTCTCCCCGTCCGACTAGGTAACGAAATGACCAGGGAGTAAATACCGCATTTGTGAGTCAGTCAATCCCACACCATTGCAAAAGCTGCCTGACATCTTAATGCAAATGTGAACGAGCGTACGTTATCAGCTACGGCGAAATATGAAACCGCGCAACGTAGTTGTCCCTGTCTTTTGATAAAATAAAGACCATGGCCTGCAGTGCCTTCCTTCCAGTCACGCAGTAGTCGAAATGCGGTAGTCACAATACGCGCCGAGACGGTGACATCGTATCGCATATGCGGAAATACCAGGGAGCGCTTGAAGCAAACCAGAAAATGGTTACAAATGTATATTAAAGTGCATGTAAACATTTACAAGTTTGTCCGTGTTTCCTGATTGCTCTGATTGTCTAAATCTATCAAATCAAAAGGCTGTAATTGAAGCCGTTATGTACGGCATTAAAGGTACACAATACCTGCGATTCCTGACTGCTTGATGCGGCAGATGTACGCCGGTGCAGATTGCTCCGGGTAATCTGTAACCATTTGCAAACGCCGTTCGCTACGGCGTTGGCCGTGACCCCAAATCGGTTAACGATAACTTCTGTGAAGGAAGATAAAGTTGGAAAGGTTATCTGAGTTACCTTGAAGCGCACTGAATGTGTGCGTTTTCTTGAACGGTATTGCGTTGTTTGCACCCGCGAAGTTAAGCTGCCTCAAGACCTCTCTGTTCAGAACCCTATCCAACATGTATCGAATGGCCTCCGATACCGTGCCGGCGGGTGTTGAGTTCATGCGAGTAGTCTAAGTCATGAATTGAAAATCCTGCAAGGTGACTTACCAGTTCTCGACGGAGGTCTGGGTCCACTAATTTACTCTCTAACTCCAAGAATTCCTCAATAGTTGAGGTAGGTAGAGATAAATCATTACGTTGCATTGGTTTTGCAGTCCACATGGCCTGGCTCATGGCCGCGTGGCTCTCCTTCAATACGTGAAGGGTCTCCTCCACGCGTCTAAGTGAATCTGCTAATTCGTCGCAAGTAAGAAGCTCAAACATACCGACCACAGCGTGCAAAGTGTGCATGACCCTTTTGTCAGATTCATGACACCTGCCTGCCAGGGCGTGTATCTAAAGTGCAAAACCGGAAGACTTACAGCATTTCATACCCTCCGTTTGAACGGCTACTTCATTACATCCACCTGTTGCGGAAAACGGAATTACGGAAAAGGGAACTTACGCATGTGAGTATCCTCCTGGAAGTCATCAGCAATCTGAGGAGGCATGGTATGCCGCGCCACGTCCTCCAACGAGAATTCAGGAAATCTCCCATAGGTTGCAGATGCAGGAGCGTTGCACCGTTTTTTTCTGGTCGGTACATTCTCATCCCCGTAATCACGAAGTTTCGCCGGCAGGCGTCTGCAATGCATTGCGTTATCAAATGTGTAGCGCATTACATAACTCGCTTCGGTGATGTTTGCATGGGGATGGTGCAATCGGTGTCCGTCCCATGACGTTGATCCCCGACGGTACTTTCCAGTCGGCGTGCGTCCTCGAAATGCACTGCAAATGATTAAATGAATGTCCTTACCTGTACGATGAAGTACCGTCACTGGAAACATTTTGCAATCAGCTATGGGGTATCTGTGCTCCCGCACCGCCTGGTGGTAATCGAACAGTGGAAGGTTGGGCAAAAGAGCATGCTGCCCGTCCTCCAACAGCCATCTGCTGCTTATTGTGTTCACTTGGGAGACACCGTCGTGCGTGTAACTGACAACGCAGTAATCCCACAGCGACATATCTGTAGAAGCCATTACATACGTGATTACCGTAAGCATGCAACTGCTGGACGCCCCCTTAAAAAACGGGAAAACAGACAACACATACAACCGCAGACTACAGATGGAACACTCGGAAGTAAGCTATGGAAGGAGTATATTTTAATGGGTGTCATCCGTAATGGTTCCAGATACACAACATTAAATCACATCGTGGCCTTCCTATGTTCCTCAGGTCGGGATTGTCGCAAGTTGCCATCCAATCCATCTTTCCGTGTTGCTTAGTGCAAGGGAAATTACTGACGTGATCTCGCATAACTGGGACATAACAAAAAGCGGCACTTACCGGAGTCTGTGGGCACAAAGGAATATAGGTACTTGAATACCTGTTATCAACATGGGCCGCATTCTTGAGTTTTCAAAATGTTTGAATTTTTTGGTCTTTTTCAATTATCATTTTGCTTTCTTTTCCGTCTCCAGATGAATTGTTACCGTAAGGATAATGAAATGGTCACATATACCATGCGGATAAACAGGCGGAGTCGGTAAATGCCGTTAGCACCATATGTAATGGTATCCTGCAGCACGCATACCTTGTGATCATGGCATAGGTCAACAAGACCGCAAACCTACGGCACCCTGGGTTGTCGCGTTCTAAATGTATGCAGCAATGGGATGATGACTTCGTCTAAACCAACGGTGAAACATACGCATTTGCATAGGATGTCATGAATCGGAAACCGCCGCAAGTCATCAGACACACCATTAGCAACATAAATATGCAGCCTGGAAGACGGCATACTATGGACGTATAAATCTCTGAGATGTAGGAATGATGCGCAGTTAACATATGCGGTTGCAGCAACGTCCGGTTGCAACGATACTATCTGGTACGGTTTCTTTCCTACGATGATTACGTTGTCCGGTTTGCTTGGGAAAAACACGGTCCCATTTAACCGAAAACCCATTTGCCTATTTATTTCGATGAGGGATACAGTTTCACATAAGTTGGAGGGCTGATTACCATTGCATAAGTTTCCCTGGAACTCCATACACCGTCGCAAAAGCTGAGGAACGATGTTCACTGGGCTTCGTATTCGCCTTTTCAGACACCTAATGTAAGATTCGAAAGGGAACGCGGAGAAATCATCCAGTGTCCCATGTGCATACGCATCTTGTGCCAAATGACACAGCGAATGCATGTTGAATGTCATTTCTTCAGCCCCATACAGTTTGAAGAAACGCGAAATAAACACCATCAGTACATTATGTGCAAAAGAGCAACATTTTCTGAATAGCAAAGGATGACAAAGCAGATAAATACCTAAATGCAAATCCAAGAAATTGACGTAATAGTCCATGGGCAAAATATCCCCCAGAACCGCGGGTCCGGCATACAACAAGAATTGCCGAAATTCAGACGCTTTCCACCATCTGAACTTATCTACGCCTCTACAACGGCGTGGAAAATCACGCGGCCAATGACACCGATTCATGTCAAGGACATCGTTAAGACGTGACACAGTGTCCATATCCAAGCGAAAATCCTTGCTAGCGGCGGCAGTTGTCCACAAGGATATCATGCGCCGCATAACACCCAAGCAAACAGCATGCATATAGTCTATAGGAAACTGCTCCACCATGTCTATGGGCAAGTATTCAAATGGTGACCATTTGCTACGGCAGTGCGCACGGAAGGACTCATTGGTACGTAGGCGGCAATCGGTGCAAGGAAAGGTTACTTTCCCAGAGACATAAACACCTCGCTGCACACATTTGTCGCAGCTGCCGTACCCGGAATGTGCTTTACTACGCTTCACATATGATCTTGCTGGTGCATCACAAATGATATTAGAGATACGCACAGCGTTTGGTGTAGACCGCCCGGGCAACATAACGCCTGTTCGAAGTAACGTTCTCAATTCCGTTACAAGTGGAGCCAAAAAGTGGTGTACATTCCACGGTTTTCGTGGACCCGAGTATACACCAACCAAAAATGGATGCGATATCAAGGGCGCCACAGACCTACACAAAATGGGCCAAACTTGCACACCGGATGAATTAAATGGTGAGAACCCATCCACATGCAACTGCAGGTGAATGCTCTGGTAGGTGGGCACACTTTCGCAACGGTAAGCCATCTTCAGACCGTCAATTATCCCCATGTGACCATACGTACCAGGATGTACCTCCATCTCGTTAGTGGTTCTTGGAGTTCTCATCAACGTCCGGTAATCCTTCGGTAGAGACGGTATGAACTTACGCAACCCTTCCAGAAGCTTGTTAACAGCCCAAGCCGAGGTGTTGGTATTAAGCACCCATGATGCGAGGAAACTACGTGCCTCATCACACGGCGTTGGTGACGTAGTCAAATCTATAGCACTGCAATCATGCTCCCCTAGTTCGCAGCTCATGCTTTGCACGTCATCACTCTCGGTTTCCGTCCTTGGTGACTGAACGGAAAGTACGTCGGGGGATTCGCGTATACAGCGGTTGTGGTCCGCATCTGAAAGGTTACGCGGTGGCGAGACGCAGAAGTCTACAAACACACAAAAAGGTTGTCCGTGAACCTTACCTCCCATAATTGCATCCACGTTACAAGTGGGGCTACGGTTGCGCTCACTGAATGCCTCACGCTCTGCGAGTCTACGCAAAAGAAGCAATCGCATTCTCAATGTGCGTGCAGAAGGTAACGCAAACGAACAACGACGTCTTGTTAAACGACTACGCATCTCTAGAACATGAAATATTAAATGAACAAACGCTTACGTAACGATGCTTAAACAAAAAAAGGTGTCTGAAGTGAATGACGGACGTACCGACAAGGAGACCAATGGGAAACCGTAGAGCAATCAAATGACCGCGCACTTCTATTTCCGGTAAAAAAAGGTACGCAAACAAACACTGACGTTTACCTTAAGGAACACAAATCCACATTATACCTCACTTTATAACCCTTTGACGTTATTATACGTAACATTAATTGTTAAACAAAAAAATTTCTTTGCATTATTTTTGGTCCAATCATACATCTACATAGAAAGTCCACGGACTGCCTTCCTATTGGTTCGTAAATGACGAAGCAAAACGAAGACAAACCTTCGTAAGCGTCCGTCATTGACGGAGGTAAACGAAGGAAAATCTCCGTAAACGTCCGTCAGTGACGGAGCAAAACGAAGCAAACTCTTCGTAACCGTTCGTCATTGACGAGGGTAAACGAAGATTAACCTTCGTTTTGCTTCGTCACTGACGAACGTTTACGAAGAAAAATCTTCGTAAAGGTTCGTCAGCGCCTCGCCATTGACGAAGCAAAACGAAGATTTTGCTCAGTATGACGGAGATTTTTCTTCGTCATGTGCTACCAGGGAAAACTTCGGGCGGTGAAACAAGACAAGAATGTCGTGGCCTAGTGCCGGGACCGTAGGCGATCCACGGAGTGGATAGGGTGTATCATTTTAAATCCATCACTTTTTCATTTCCTGGATCAACAATCCACTAAAACGATTTTTCTATCGTTCTTGTCCCATCTTAATGAGAACACTAAAGAACATTATAATGAAACTCTATGAACATATACATAAGCAGGTTTAGATGTAGGCAGTTGTCACTTTCATTTATTATTCATTACTTAATGGCTCAGAACCATCAGACAACAACTGCTGGATAACGGCCACACACTGGACATGCTTTTCGTTGACTTTTCGAAGGCATTTGACAAGGTACCCCATTTGAGACTCGCGAAAAAGCTGACCTCCTACGGAGTATCTGGCCGCGCCCTTCATAGGGTGACTGTCTTCTTGGAGGGTAGAGAACAGTGTGTACGGGTAGGCCGGTGCCTATCATTTCGACAGTCTGTCCTCAGCGGCCTGCCGCAAGGCTCGGTCCTTGGACCACTGTTGTTCTCCATCTATGTGAATTACCTAACCGCGGAGCTTGAGGTACCATCGCTGCTATTTGCTGATGACCTGAAGCTGTGGAACTTTGTTGATGTTCCTGGGGGTTCCGAAGCTATTCAGCGAGCATTGGATAAGCTTTGGGACCGGTCTAATTTATGGTTACTGCACATAAAGCAGGCAACGTGCTCCGTTCTTCGAATTGGAGGAGGATGTCCTCCTGCGAAGTACTTGGTCGGTGGGGTCGAACTCCCCCGTGTATCTAGCCAGGTTTACCTAGGCGTCGTACACTCTTCGGCTTTACACTCCGGCGACAACTGGAAGAAGGCTGCAAGCAGAGGTTTCCGCATGTTGTGGTAAATCCGACGCTCTTTCGGAGTCTTGACGAGCGGCATCTTTACGAGGCTGTTCTAGGCTTTCGTTCGACCTCATCTGGAATACCGCGTCCAGGCTTGTCCGCCCTGTCTCGTCAGGGACAAAATGGAGCTATAGAGGGTTTTACGAGTGGGTACTAGGTTAGTCGAGGGATTACGGGGACGGACGTACCCCGAGCGTCTACTTAGTTTGGGAATGCATTCAATGCACTACCGAAGGCTTAGAGGAGACCTAATCCTAACCTACCGTATCTTGACTGGGAAGGTTGGTCCAGATTTATCTTGGCTATTCAGTCCCGCTAGATTGTCTGTTCTACGCGGTCATTCGTTGAAGCTGGACAAACCGCGGTCCGATCGGGTTAGGGTGGAAATCCGGCTGTCACGCCGAGTCATCGACCGCTGGAACATGCTTCCGGAAAGTGTTATCAGGGAATCTACGGTTAAGGGGTTGGAGGGGCAACTTGACGCTCTTGGGTGGCAACACGAAACCTGTCCATTTTCCTGAGTAACTTGCATCTTCGTACTTCGATTTTCTTTTCTCTACTTTTCTTCACGTATTGGTATTATTTTCTTATTTAAGTGCACTTCCTTACTCTGTACCTTCGATTTCTCTTCCTATCCTTTGCTTGCTTCACGTGACTGCCACAGCAGG